CGCCGAATATCAGCCAGAAGTATTGCTATATATCTGAGAATATCACATGAGAGAGATGGTGCCATTATCCACAGGGACTTGGAAATGAGAAAGCTGGCAGCAAAGTGGATCCCCAAACTTTTGACAACTGAACAAAAGAGGAAATATGTGGAGTCATCAGTGGCTGTTTTGGAACATTTTGCAAGAAATGAATCAGGTTTCCTGGGCAAACTGGTAACTGGTGATGAGACATGGATCTACTGTTATGATCCTGACCCAACGGAACAGTCTAAGGAATGGAGGCACAGTGGTTCTCCCAGGCCAAAGAAGTTTCAAGTCCAAAGGTTGGTGCAGAAGCAAATGGCAACAGTTTTTTGGGTTAAGAAGGGAGTTCGCTGGTGGACTACCTCCAAAAGGGTTCAACCATCAATGCAAAATATTACTGTGCTTTATTGATGAAGTCTAGGCAAAACATCAAGGGAAAATGTCAAGGAAAGCTCTCCAAAGGTGTCATCCTGTTGCATGATAACGTCTCGTCACACACTGGTGAAACAATGGCAAAACTGTCCTCCTTAGGCTTTCAAGTGATGTCCCATCCACCCTATTCTCCTGACCTGGCTCCTTCTGGCTATTATCTGTTCCCCAAACTCAAAAAATACCTAAAGGGACAAAGATTTGGGAGTGTTCTGGAGGCAACTAATGCTGCACGTGAGTGGTTACACCAGCAGTCGGAAGAATTTTATTTGCAGGGACTTAAGAAGCTGCAGGACAGATGTCACAAGTGCATTGACTTCCTGGGGGAATATGTAGAATAGTGTGACAGTTACAGCTTCCTAGCTCATTTTTTTCTGGGAAAGGCTCAAGACTTATCAGCACCCTCTCAAATCTGTGTTATACACCCTTTCTAGAAAGTGATTTGTTTCTAGAAAGGGTGAAGAGTGAACCACTGCAGTGCAGGGCCTGACACAGACTCCTCACCTCCAGAGCCATTAGATGATAGGTGAACGCTGTGAAGAAGCAAGAACAACCTGCTTCCTCATGAGAAGAACCAGGCTCTTACTCTGGGATTAAGTTGAGTTTCTGATATTTAAGTGGCCTCACAAAATGTTCTTACTTCAGCTTCAGGAAATAAATACACACAAAAAAAGGTCATTTTTTAAAATTACATGTTGGCAGGTTATCCCCACCTCCCTCCAAGACTTCCTGGCAGTTGAAAACCTTTCTTTTTTTACTTCACTCAAAACAAATGCATATGTATCCTGATCCAGGGATTTTTTAAAAATTGCGAAGTGTGTGTTTCTGTGTGCGTGTTTTTAGATGTTCTCTTGTCGTAATTTGGATCCTTTAGCTTCAGGTTCCCGGACACTGGGCTCTTTTTGTATCTGTTAACTTTTCTTCCAACAGTTAAAAAGGTAGAGGAGAATTGTGGGGTGGACAGAAAACACTGACATCCCCCAGGGATGTTCCTTTCCCCTTTCCTTCCTTTACTTGGAGACTTCCTGTGCACGTCAATGCCTGTGATCTCATAATCCAAAAATAGGCTTAGCTGCGCTGGGGTGAGGGGAACAGGAGACAGGTTTTCTGTAATTAAATTTATTGAACTAACTCTCCCCAAATAAGCTGGAATCCAAGACATGAAACCAGAATTTGCTGAATTGGGGGCGTGGGTGTGCCTTTTGCACTTTAGTAATGAGATCATGGAAGAGAGCAGGACATCTGTAATCAATGCCAAAGAAAATACTTTCCCCTCATTTCCCCCCCTCCCTTTCCTAGAACAAATGCTCAGAAGTTCAGCCTAATGTATTTGCAAATAGTAACGCAGTCATTAGAATACCATATATGTCTCTTAAAGTGTATGTGAAATATTTTGAAGCAATAGTGCCTGGGGTCTACATATCTTCCTGTTAGAGCCCCCACATTTTCTTTCTTTCTTTATCAGATCAGATTGATTGCAGTAGGGCATATCTTATCAATTAAAGAAGAGCTAAAAATCGTATGACTCAGCATGCAGCAGATAATATATCTTTGTACATTGGAACCCCCCCCCCCCCGAATTGTTATTTAAAACCCCTCCTGTTACTGTGAACGAGAAGGAAAGTATCTATGGTAGCCTCCGGTTGGAGGAGTTAACAGCCCACTTCTGGGGCATCGGGGGAAAAAAGAGAGGCCTTTGATCCTGCGCAGCCAGAGATGCCTCCATCTTTGGAATGGCTATGGGACTTATCACCTTCTGGACCAACCACTCTCAGAAGATTTATATTTATGGGACTTCTTTAACTAAAGCATCTAGAATGGCGGTACCCTTTCCTCAGTGGAGGGGCATCTCTGCTACATCCTAGCCTTCAGCCAGGGCCTTGGGAGGGAACAGTTAGGATTCCAGTGCCCAGTCCTTTATAAATAATATATTATTAGTAAACGTAATTAAAATATTAAGTATTTGAAGGAAGACCATCTCATATTTAATAGGGGTATTTAATTAAGTGCCATTCCTTTTAAAAATGGGAAAAAATTATATAAAGAGCTGAGTGCATAAGTTCTTTGTACCATTTTATTCTTTTAAAATTGTGTGGCACAGCAAGAAGGTATGTGCTGTGTTTTAGCACAAAATGAATGAGCTGCAGTTTAACTTTTAGCATTATCTCTTGAGCTTTCTCTCCCCAGATGATGTTAACCTTCAAACAGCTTGTTGGATTGTCTCTAAAGAATCTAAATTTGATTTTAAGTGTTACTCCAGGAAATATCTTTGGTTTTAATATGCTTTTAAAAAATATTATATATCTTTATGGATTTCTTTCAGCTGTCTTAATGGGAGATTTTTTTGTGTGCAAGGAGAATTTAATATAGAGAAGATATTTAAAGGAAAGTGTATCTGGATAGTCAGCACCAGTTTTCATTTCTTTGTTCAAGGCATATAGCTGAGTGACAAAACAGCACTTTTAGAGTTCTATTTCCTTATCCCTTAAGGTACGGAAGCACTTTACTTGAACTGATGTGCATTAACAATCGGTCTGAAACCTATATGTGATAAGGACATAGCCATTCCTCATGAGAAACAAACATGAGGAAGTACTGAAGACATCTAGCTTGCAGATAATGTAATGCAGTGGTTCTCAAACTTGAGTCCCCAGTAGTTCTTGCTTCTCAGATAACCTGATAATAAAAACACAATAAGTTGCCTTTACTAACATCTCTTCCGCTGTAGGTAGTATTTTTTGTTTCTCAGTACTTCTTTCTCCTTCATTGATTATCCCTTTATTGTGTTCCCTTGGAGCTTAGGGCAACTTCACTACATAGGGGGTGGGAAAGGGCAGCCCTCCAGATACTGTTGAATTGCAAATCCCTTCTGCCCTACCCAGTATATTCAATGGTGAGAAATGCTGGGATCTGCAGTTCTAACAATATCTGGAAAGCCTCATGTGGCCCACCAATGCATTCTTCCAAATTTGCAAAGGAGAGGTAGAGATATTAAAATGCCCTACAAGTCTTGGAAAAGTATACAGCATACTTTAAATCAGGCATGTCCAACTTGCAGCCCAAGGGCCGCATGCAGCCCAGGTCGGCTCATAATGCGGCCCAGTGCAATTTTTTATTTTTAAAGAAATTCCAAAGTTTCAAGTTACACTGC